TTCTGGGTCTGCCTCTCTTCAAAACTGGCATCCTGGTGTCCTGATGTGACTTCGAACCCTGTAAGGAAGCGAGCTCCCGAGTCAGGCAGACTCAGGTTCTCTGCCTTGCTCCTTGGTAGTTATAACTTTGGTCAAGACGCTCCCCCTCCTTCATGCTGGTATGTGCTTGATGGAGTCTGTATGAGTGTTACAGAAGGAGCCCCCATGGTGCAACGGCCGCGGGCCCCATGAGAGAGGAACTGTAAAGATTACAGCCACGAAAACCCCATGGGCACCCTCTGTTCTGTCACATGAGCCAAACTTGACTGACTCCTGGGCACCCAAAGCTGCCGTTTAACCCTTTGGTGACCTGTGTCTATTTATTGCTTACCAATATTTTCAGCCTCTCGGGTTTCCTGGGAAGCTGCTAACCCAGTTCCAGGCCTCGCCCCCCCCTGGCAGGTGCATACTGTGTAACTGCATGAATCTGAAGAAAAGGGCCCCTCCGAGCCAGAGGCCACACAGGACTCTGTCATTGTAATTGTATCAAAATCCATATTACCTAAAAAAAATCCCTTGATTTCAGGATACCCTCCTCTACTGAAAACACACGACCACCAACTAAAAAAGTCAAAGCAGAAAACAATTTGCTCATGAAAGTTAAGAAAATGTAGACGAGCACTTAGCTTGGTACTTGGCTCACGATAAAGGCTCTGAGCATGTTAACTCTTGTTAGGGTTACAGGTCAAACACCTACTGGGGAGAACCTCCTCCCCATCGCTCTGTGCTGCCACCGCAGAGGGCTCTGCTTCTCTGGAAGCCCTTTGTAAGGATCATAAAAGCACCTCAGCTGCTCCCTCTCCTCCATCCCTGCTGCACAGACTGCCTGCCCCGGTCAATTCTGGTTCCACTGTGCTGTGTGACCTGGTGACGCTACTGGACTTTTCTTGACTGCAGTTTCCTTAAGTGAGAAATGGAGACAAGAACAGAACACCTAGAGCAGCAAGAAGGCACATCATGTGTCTGCCGCCTCCCTTCCAAGGGCACTGCCCTGACGGGAACGTTGCTCTAGACCTACGGAGAGAGAGAGAGAGACTAGAAAGAGAAACTAACTAGGCAAGAGACCTCTGTTGTCCTGACTGCCACTCTAGCTGACTTCCTTGAGGTTCAGGCAGTGAACTTGGAGCAGGCACTGGCTTTCATTGAGGACACGAGTCCCCCTGGTTGAACGACGACCTCAGCAGATGGCATCACCTCTGCACAGGGCGTTTTCTCGTG